CGGGATCCGACCGAAGGGGTGCGGGAAGGGAGAAAGTTAACTTCACAGCGAGCTCCCGTCTATGCTTCCGATCTAAATGTCGTAACTTTCGATCCAACTGGAAGCGTTGTCGAAGAAGCGAAGTCGCACAGCTACGCAGGAGTCAGAGGAGTACGGGACAGAGGGAGCTCGGCTGTGGGAGGCGAGTCGGAGAAGTAGAGCCGGAGGGAATGAGAGAGCGAGAGATTGGTCGGAGGAGTCAAGTGGATTTCGGGAGGAGAAGCAGCGGGGCTTTTGCGTGTGTGGAAGTGGGAGAAAGCAGAGAGAGTAGCGACTAGAGCTCAATCGCGTGTGTAGAGCCTTCAATTGGTTCGGTATTTAACGACACTCATGGGAGCGGGATCGAGGCGAGCGTGTATGAAACGACTGAAATTGGCGTCGTTTGCAGGGAGTGGGTTGCTGTAGCGGGATTTCTGCCGGATACGAGGGATGGGCAGCCGACTGTGGCAGATTACAGGTACCTTATATTTATTTATTTGATATTTTTGGACATTTCTCAGAGGTCAACATAGAGAAATAATACGAAACAAGCATATCCATGAAAAGGTTGGAGTAGCTCCAGTGACATATAAGATTAGAGAGAGTCATCTTAGATGGTTTGGTCATTTAAAATAGCAGCCTTCTGATGACCTTGTTAGGAGAGTAGATGTATTAGATTTGACCTAAATTAAGAAAGATAGAGGTAGACCTAAAAAGACTTGGTTAGAAATATTAGAAATGACCTTCCTTTATTAGAGTTAAATAAGAATTTAACTCTTAAAGTAACACAATGGAAAAAAAAGGACATGTAGCCGATCCCACGTAGTGGGATAAAGGCTTGATGTTGTTATTGTTGTATAGGCATGTCAACTAAAGCTAACACCTGGTATAATGACTAATTAGAATGACTACAGAGCAACGATTCATAAAATTAATCATCATCTATAATTGATGATTGATGACAATGACTGAAAGTAAAGATGGGGTCATACTTGATAGTTTAATGTAACAAGCAATTAGCATGTCCATGACTTATTTAAACATTAACAGCAGACCAAAGCACACAAGCCTCTACAAAAATTACCATTCCAGGAAGATAGTTCGATCCATCAAGTGCCCTAGACCACTGCCCATTGTCATCCAGATGTTCAACTTGTTCCCTCGTAAATCTGTAAATACAAATGAGAAAAGAAATTATCATGAGAACACAAAAATAATACAAAATAAAAGAAAGACCCAGTAAAGATAAATTGCAGTTAAACAATCGCTTCAAGATTATGAACTAGGATAAATACAACAATATAATGACATGAATTTTAAATTTTATTAAATATTATTAATCAACAAAATGTAAGAAATGTCTAGTTGGTCGTGATATTATATTAGCCAACACCATGCGGTAAAATAACTATAATAAAATACAGAGTTAAAAAACACAACAGAAAAGAAATGATGATTCATAAACGAGAGGGTGATAAACAGAGACAGTTAATCTGTATTAAACCTTCCAAAAAGAGTCTACAAAAAACTGAATCAAGTAACATAACATTTCAGGAAACGACTACGACAATCAAATAAAAAAGCAACCACTACCAGCCAGCAAGAGAGCTTTATGATGTCAAATAGATACAAATCAAGAACATCAAAAGTACATAACCTCAAAATGATCTGAAAGGCCACTGAAAGATAATCTATCAATGCAGGTAATTCAATCTTATGGATGAAGGTGAGAAAGAAATAAAGTTCTGCATTCAGAGTTTTGAGTACAAGAATTGCAAGCTAAAACCTAAGCTATGAATGAAGCATCCCAACTGTATTGGATACTCGCTGCATCAACATAATCATTAAGCCAGTCAGCCAATATAGAAACTAAAGACCTCTATGTATCAGCTAAAAATAGAGCCCGACTAGAGCCTATTCAGAAGGCTTCATTTAGTTCTGTTTTTCTCCTACTTGACTTTTTGAAAACTAGACTTTATTTACGTGCTTAAAAAATCACTCTTTTACACGGGTACCTTCTCTATGATGTCATAAGCATATGGACCCGCTTATGAAGGGAATCGGATTTATATATGAGATCATGATGATCTAATTTCAACATAGGAAAAGTATAGCCGCGGCATAGCTGAACTAAACGGAACCTTCCATGTAGAAGAAAAAAAAGAAACTTCAAATATTTGCTGGTGTGGATGACACAAGAACCGAAAGGAAATTTTCTTTTGATACAAGGCAAAATATAGACTGGTTTATGAACGAAAAACAGAAACATTTATACCCATGCAAATAAATATAGAATTAAAAACCAGGTTTTGAATTTACTTTCTTAGCATGAATATGTGACATCCTACTTGTTAAATTCAGAGAATTGGAGAGAGAAAATGTTTAATTTTATTGCACAAAATTATCCCAATTAATAGATCTATACAAGATATCTTAATAAAGAAACAAATAATTACAAAATCACGAATTGCGCTAATATAATCATTTATAAATCAGCCAACTAAATATGGAAGGAGATCTGTGTGATCCGGGTGAGCCTTCCACGGATTCCCATACTAGCTGTGGGATCAAAATGCCAAGGGACGGCTAGGATTTAACAGGTAAGCCTCTCACAAATTCCCATCCTAGCAGTGGATTAAAATGTCAAGGGACGGCTAGGATTTAACACTCCCCCTCAAGCTGGGGAATACAAATATGTCATTCCCAGCTTAGTAACCAGTCACAGAAAGGTAGAGTTATCAAGTCCCTTGGTAAGAATATATGCAAGCTGATCTTTTGATGAGACGTGATCGATACATATAAGACCATCGTCTAATTTTTCCTTTATGAAATGTATGTCCACTTCTATGTGCATGGTCCTATCATGTTGAATCGGATTATGAGCTATATTGATTGTTGATTTGTTGTCACAGTGTAGCTTCATGGGTCCTTCCCACTTAATCCTTAGGTATTCTAGAATCATCTTGATCCATAGTAGCTCACATATTCTCAAGGCTATAGCTCTATATTTTGCTTATGCACTAGACCTTGCCACCACATTTTGCTTTTTGCTCCTCCATGCAACAAGGTTTCCTCCAAGGAATGTGCAGTATCCTGAGGTAGACCATCTATCTATTAGTGATCCTGCATAATATGCATAAGTATATGCTACTGAGATTATTCCACAGTCTCTTCTGAAGAAAATCCTTTATTTGAGTTCCCCTTAAGGTAGTGTAGTATTCTATCTACACCTTGCTTGTGAGTCTGCTTTGGATTTTGCATGAACTGGCTTACCATACTTACAATAAATATTATATCTAGTGTGGTGTGGGAGGTAGATTAATTTTTCCACAAGTCTCTGGTAAGATCATTTATCTGTATTTGGATCTTAATTTGAGATTTGATTCTACTAGTGTTGTTGCTGGTTTACAAGCTAGTTTGTCTATTTTTTTAAGAAGATCATTAATGTATTTTTGTTATGAAATGAATATTCATTTGCTGAAGTGGGTCATGTCAATTCCAAGAAAATATTTTAACCTACCAAGATCTTTGATCTCAAATTCATTGGCAAGACATTTCTTTAAAATCACTTTCTCCTTTTCATCATTCTCAGCCAATATGACACCATTCACATAAACTAATAGAACTGTGACTTCTCTAAGTTTGAGTGCTTGAAGAATAATGTGGTCCCCTTAGCTCTACCAATAATCATTAAATAGCATAATTTTTGAAAATCTTCCAAACCAAGCTCTAGATGATTGCTTTAGCCCATATAGAGCCTTTTTTTAACCTACAAACTTTATTAACCCCAAATTTCTCCTTGAATCCTGGTGGAATCTCCATAAATATTTCTTCGTCCAAGTCCCGGTGATGGAATGCATTTTTGACATCTAGCTGTTATGAGATTATCTAAGGCTTTTAATCCATACGAAATGAAGGACTTACAAAAGAGTGGCAGGAAGCAGGCAGCACCTGGCATAGGCCTTTTTAGCATCTCCATCAAGTTTTTTAGCCTTTCAATTTTTTCTTTATGAAGTTCTCCATAATATGGGATTACCTCTAAATTTGTTTGGGTGTCAGATGAATATGTTCTTGAATCCATTGTTTTCCACCACAATGTCTCTATTCATGTTCATTGCATTTGGTTTGAAATTAAAATTTTAAATGTTTTTTCCCGTATGTGTCTCAGCTCTTTGCGGTAGCTACACTACAGATTGGCTTAATTGTTTCAGATTAGCAGTCTAGAAAAGTTTGCTTTCCCACCTACGGTCGTTGTATATTTGTCTTGTGGTTCCTCCCACCATCCATCACAAAGGTAACTGCTTGCTAAGAGTAGGGATCAAGTATAAATCCTTTCATGCTCTCCTCAGCTCGAATAATAGAGTTGGTCTCATTCAAAGATGGCACCTCATCTTTACGCAAGGTCTGAAATCTAATTTGATAAAACCTTACATTAGAACCTATGATAAATTCATAAACTCTATCATTCTCAATGAACTTTTTTACAAGGCTACATCATCGCTGTATTTCAATTTGATGGCCTAATAGTAATATGATTAGTGCTAAATATTTTCAAGAGATTGGCACAGTTTGTACTGGATTTATTATCTTGTTTGATAGTGGCTATCATATACTTGGGCAGCATCATTTGCTTTTAAATATCTATCTTATCATGTCCCAAATATCAGTTAAAGTGAGAAAAACATATCCATGCCCTAATTTTTTTAGTCAAAAATTCCATAGTCATTATATTATCATGGAATCTTCCTCATCCCAAGCATCAAATATTGGGTCACCTTGCTTTGTCCCAATTGGTGGTTCAATTTTCTTTTCCATCGAAAAAAAAATTTAAATTAATTGGAACTACTTAGTTTTGTACATTTTTCATTAATCATTAGCATGTTATGAAGATCTCTAGATGATTAATGAGGTACTGTTTCTCTAAAGGTTACCTCATCGAAAAAAACTAAATGGAATAGACATTGTCTTCGAAATGTAGACTCAAAACAACATAGATATGGTTGTCGGAGAGATCACAAAATTGCAGTTGCTAGTTAGTAAGAATCGAAGAAGACGCCATCACTGACAAGCCCCACTGGCAACAAGAAGAGGTCGAATTTCACGGGAGTGATGAAAACTAGCAAAAAAAAAACCCTCTGCCAACAATGAGCAAAGAGTTGATGATTTGGGATATTGAAAAGGAACAATGAGCGACGAGGTGAGGATGATGATGAATCGTCGAGATAGAGATACAATAAGTGATGAAGATGAAAGCCAAGATGTGTCAGGCGATGAAGACACAACATGCAATGATGGTTAAAGCTGGAAACAACAAAGTCAAGACATAAGAAGAATCAAAACACCTAAGTCTTTGATGCCACGTGAGAAAATATATATTGATCTCACTTGAATGAAATTGCAAGCAATCATATGATCTTATACATGTTGTAAGGAAAGAAAACACATACAAAAAGGAAACCTAATTGAAATAAAGACCCTTTGATTTTTTGAAACAATAATTTCAAGACCAATGAATTAATTTGAGTTATTATCATAAGACTCTCCCAGAGAAGAGATTGTTGGAAGGTTTAAATCCTAGCACTTACGATAATTAGTTCTTACGATAAATGTTCAGTTCAATATTGGAAACCAAGCATGCCTTCAGAGATTCTTGGGTGTCTCTTGAAATCCTAATCATGCAGGCGTTAAAAAACTCTATATAAGGAATTCCCTCAAAAAACTTTACTCAACTTCTTGATTCCTTGCATGGAATCCTAGGTACTTAAAGAAATCATAAATTGCATAAAATCCAATGGATTCCATAGCATTCTGCATCAACACTTCCGAGTCAATTTGATATTCTAATACAACCAATTTGTGGCGTCTATGTAATCCCAAAATAATAGATGAATAAGTTACTTTGTGTAACTATACACAGTGCTCTGATCATTATGGAGTTCAGTGGCAAATAAAAAGCTTCTCGACAAGGAAAGCTGGCATTTACATAGATGAGAGCCTTGATTAATTAACAAAGCAGCAAGAGCAATTCAACTCAGTAAGAAAACTTCGACTAAAATCAAAGACATGTTAGATATATCCAATCCAATCAAGTGAAACAAATATGTCCATAAGATGAACAACATATTTTGTCTAACATAATTAGTTCCCCCTTTCACAAACACTTGTCATTAAAAGTGCGTGGAGAAAATAACGTAGAACCAGAAATGAAGACCATTACATAAAGAGAAATAGAGAAAAAAATAACAAAAACGAAGAATAATGGCAATACCTGGGATTTAATACATGTCGGATATCATCCAATGATGGATCATTCACTCCATAACCATCAGGAAGGCAATAAACTTTTTCTGTTTGAAGGTTGATATACACGTGGTGACCATTTTCAAGACTGTGGGTGTATGCATGAGAGTTTAGACCTCTTCCTTGATAATATTTCCCACAGACTAAACATGCATATACATTTAAATTTGATAGAGATACTGAGCAAAATTTCTCAAAATCAAAGTCCAAGACCTGCATATGTACAGGAGCGTGTTAGAACCTTCAACCAGGTGAATAAAATTAATCGTGTAACATAATTAAAATACCCAACTTGATGAAGATGTTTATCGAGCTCATAAGAAGTTGCAATCTTGGCATGTCTAGCTGGATGAATAGCCGAATAGCCAATCAAAGTTTTCATATACTAAAGGTTGTATTCATCTGCCTGGGATGATTTAATAGGTCATAATCACTTGCTTAAGGTGAGTTCATTTGTAGACTTGATAAATTCCTTTTGAGCTAATGTCAAGTAGACCGAATTGAAATGTCTTGAACCAGGCCAACTTGGACTAAACCGGTCTGACTTGGCTTGAACTCAATTTTTTGAATATTTGAATGTAAATTTAGTTCCATAATTCTCTTAAACATTTGGATATTTATTGTGAAAATAATAAAGGAACATAAAAAATATTCTTTGTTAATTATTCATAAAGCCTTCATAAATGTTTATTTTAATGTTTGATATTTTTTAATAAATTTGATTTTGACTTCTGATATTGTTGTTTCATCCACATCATCAAATACTTAGCATATAAATATGAGACTGATGTTTCTCACTTAAATGCTCTTCCTTCATCTTCTTACTTCTCCTTGAGTTAATAGTCGAGCAAATATATTCCTCACTTTATGCATCTTGGTTTAACTTGGTTTAAACTCAAGTTATTCCAACTAAATCAAGAATAATTTTTCATGATAACTAGCTAATTTCCACATGTCTTCATAATAGCATGGACCAAACCTGTCCAGGTAATCTATTTACCAAGCAAGGCCGAGTGAACAACTAACCAACCCCCCTTCGCATGCAATTGAAGCCAAACCGAGCCTCCCCTTCACATACGGATGCCAGCTCACGACATCTCGCGTGCAACCTTTCCTCTTGCCACTTAAGGCGAAGGAAACCTAGTGCATCATATTCATCTTCTTACAACAGCCATCAAACCCACTCCCTTTCTCCTTCCTCTTCGTTTCTTTCTCGCAATATTAGCCACTAAATTTCTCTCTCTTGGCTATTTCCTCAAATCACCGCTGTTGTTAAGGATGACGCCCTCTTCATCTGCTTCTTTGTGGATGGAGGATTAATCGAGAGCCTTCTTCCTCCTTTCTCTTCTACTAAAGGCCAGTAACAAGAAAGCATTCTCTTTTGTAAGATTTTTTTTTCTCATCTATTTTCTTTCACAATCTTGTTCAAGGCTTAGATTAATAAATTCTTATTTAGATTAGGTTGAATGTTAACTCATATTTTCACAACATACGGTAAGTTTATTATTAATCTAAATTTTGTTTGCAAGTGATTCTCTATTTTAAGGTCCAGTTGATATGACTGGTTGGAGTGTAAGATCAATCGCATATTTGTTATAGCTAGAGTTAGCATTAGTGGTGTAGCTTAGATCAATTTGGATAACAATGTTAATCTTTGAGACTACACGCTTATAATTTTTTGATTTCGCTTCTTATAGGGCCTTCACTTGGTGGAATTGAGCGAAACACAATTAACTTTGGAATTTATGGCAAACACTGTAATTAATTGTTATTTTTTATGGGATAAATGTACCCTTCTTTGTTAGGGCGCAATCCATACTAGTTGTACTAGGTACTTAAATGGTTAGCTAGATTATAAGTCTTGCATTTGATTGTGAAATTTTCTATTACATGCATATGATAAGCAAGTATTTTTTATATTGATAATAAATTAATAAATTTATGGATAGATTTATTTGATTTATTGCTGCACAAACTTTTGTATATTGAGTATTGTAAAAGATATATTTGATATATTTGTATGCATGTACTTCTATTAAATGCAATAAATTTCATCCTTGCAAATCATAAATTATTATGATATAGCAATCATCATATTGAACATATAATATTTGTTGAAAACTTATGACAAACATAGAAATTGTATGCTTGCGCACGCGCACAAGCACACACTAGAACCTATTGTAATGAATGATTTTTTTGCTTGAAGTATTTATATATTGATAATGTAATATTATTTGAATTTATGGTAATGAAATAAAAGTTGAATTTCTCTTATGTTATTCACAATGATATGAATTATGGTTATATTACTTTTATATGCACTACTCCTCTTGTGAGTACAAAATATGTTTTCATATCACTTCATCATGTCTCATGTTGCTAGGGAGCACTATCTTCTGGACCTAGGGTTTGACAGTCTTAACCAATACTCTAAAAATTGAAGGCCATTGATTGAAGAAGTGGGATCACATGCTGACTTGAGATAGTGTCAACAGGATTGTGATGTCTCAATCATGATCGGAACAAAGATGGAGGAGAAAAAGAACAAGAGCATTTTCAAAGATGTGATCCACCTTCCTCATTATTGCAGTTTATAAAAAAGGCCTTTTGTGGTGCTTTAAGTTTTGTACTAGCTTCAACGAACATACCATCACGATTCATACTTGCCATGAGCTATGTACTATTTATTAAGCAATTTTTTTGAGAAATAAAGATTAAAATAACAGGTTCAACTTAACGCTTTCTTTAGTAAAATTGCGCCGATCATATGTAGTGTTGCGCTTCGCGCTTTGAAAATTAAGAAATTGTTAAGGAAACACTGACAAAAAAGACAAGCTGCTTTATAAGTGTGGTGTTCGTGGTCTGAACCAATATAAGAGAAGCCAAATCGATAGGATGCTTCACTTTGCGCTTTTCTGGTCCAATCAAATTTTTTGTCCACTAGTTTTTGAAATTAATAGCACTTGAGAAGTTTTTTCCCCAATTATGACAAAATCTCAACAAAATCAAAACGATAAAATGCTGAATTTACAGGACAAAACCAGGAAGAGATGCCAGTAAATTACCTGGCGATTAACAGTGTCAAGATAAGGGCAGTCCCTCCGGATCTCCACCAGACCCTGCCGCCTCCCTCTAACTTGACCTTGAGCGATTTTGCTTTCATCCTCTTCCTCCTCTTCATCATCAACAGTGCCAATTTCATCTCCACCGTCACTGTCATGTCTGCGTCCATTCTCATCTAGTAGAAGTCCGTTCGCCCTTGCTCTTCCGGGCTCCTCCTCGTCACCGTCGTCGCTATAGCGAGCGAGGGAAAGGAGAGAGTCGTTGCCCACAGGAGAGAGCCGCTGTCTCTTATGTTCTCGGTAGACTCCATCTTCTCCTTCTTCATCATCGTCTACTGGTTTTCTTTTACTAAGCATCTCCATTTCCGCAATTACTGCGGATCCAAACCCCAGAAACGAATCACGGCGGCTAGGGCTGCAGCGGAATTGCGAGGGGTAGGTCTGGCTGAGGAGAACTGTTTGGTATCGGATTTATCGTTCGATTTAAGTCGGATTTACGCTAAATCCAGCCAAAAGGTTTTACAGAGCGCGTTAAATCCCGGGTTTAAGGATATACGGCTTAAATCCCGGCTTAAATCCCGGCTTAAATCCCTCGGTTCGGTGGATTTAACAGGATTTAAAGAGTGGCGGAAGACTTACCCGCGGCGCCCGTATCGCCGAAGCTCAACAGTCGCCGAAGAAGCGCGCGAAAGGGAGAACCTTCACAGCCAGCAAGCTCCCGTTGTTGCTTCCGATCAAAATCTCCTAACTTCCAACCCGACAGGAATGGAAAATCGTCGAAGGGGCGAAGTCGAACAGCCACGAAGGAGCCGAAGTAGCGACGCGCGCAATCTCTACACCTCCTGCGTGCTTCGAAGCCGAACAGCAACGACGAAAAGAAAAGATGAAAGGCGATCCCTAGACGGCTCAAAGTTATTATTGATTAACTTAATTAATATAATTTAAACAATTAGTAATTTAATTAAATTAATTAATTAATAGAATAGTTAGTGCATAAATTAATTATCTAATTTAACTTAATTGACTAAGTAATGATATAATTAGTAATTAAATATTAATATAATTAGCTTGTTTTTTTTTGGGACATTTAGGTCATCTAAGACAAACTAATACACACAACGCATACACATAGATTCGAATCCTAGACCTCTTAGTTGAAAGCTTAAGCTCTCAACCAATAGACCAATGAGAGTTATGTATAATTAGCTTATTTAATACTCATCTGTCACTTTGGTCACTGTTAGTTTGTACTTTACTTTTTATTGAATTTTCGGTCATTTTACATGAACTAAAATTGATTTTATTATGTTTTATGCAATGATATTGATTTCATAAATATCTCATTTAAATTTAAATCCCTAACCGCCATAAATCCTGATATATGTTACTAAATAGTTTCTCATGATTTAACAGGATTTAACATTTGGCATGTCAAACAGCTTTCATGATTTAACACATTTCGGATCTACTAAATCCAAATTTACATGATTTATTAAATCCCACTAAAGTTAAATCCCACTTGTCGCCAAACAATCCCTGAACTGGCCCAAAGTTTAGCTTGGATTATAATGAACTCGAAAGTAATATGTGCGGCGTTTTGTTAATTTTTTATTTAATTTAACCTCATACCTCATTCTCTGAATCATGTGCAAGGAGAAAAATTACATCTGAATGTTCGATGTATAGTGTATTATGTGATATGGCAGCTCCTGCACGTAATAATCTCTAGTTAAAGGGCCATGGAATTCGATGAATTCTATCTATTATGAGGCATAAGGCTCTCTAGGATAAAGTATTTGCTTATTTATTTTTTCGGCGCTGTTATTTGAATTCTTAATAAGTGCAATTACTATTCTGCTCAACATATTAATTTATTATACTATTTTTAACATTCAACTAAATGCTTAATACTATATTCATTTGAAAGTTAAAATAGGTAAATATGATCTACTGAGTTGTGTTAGCTTGCAATTGTTTTGTCTTCCATTTTCAGAATTTGAGAGTGAGAAAAAGCTAGTTGAATATTAGTCAGGATTTGATCTGAGTGTATAAAAATATTTCTTTCTTTTGATTTGTGCATAGATATAGCTATTGTCCAGTTAATTTATTTTTGTGGCCCAATCTATAGCCATGTACTTTAGTTGTATATTCATTTTGGTGATGAAATATAAAGATATTTTTTTGGATGTGTTTACTTTTAATACATTAGGTGTTATTAGTAGCTCTATGATTCTTGCTGTTTGTTTAAAGTTAAAAAAATCTAAAAAAAAATTCAAAACTTATATCGTGGGGTTCGTCAGTCATAAACCAACACAATGGGATATATGTCTAGTCTATGGGAAAATTATTACGTCCGGTCAAAAAACGGAAAATCCGGACGTATACTGAGCAATACCGAGTGCTCGATACCGAACTCCAGGTGACATGGAGCGTGGTTATTGGCCTCTGGACGCGTTCGGTGTCCGGACGTAATAATTACTCCTAACCTATGGGTCATATCGGGTTGGGTTGTGAAAAATAATGCCCATTGTGATGCCTTCTTATCACACAAATTTCTTGGTGGTGAGTAAAAAAAGAGTTAGATGTAGTCACCTTTCTTACGACGTATATGGCTGATCTAATTATGGCCATCCCCATGAGGGAAATAAAGTTGAATAGGCTCAATCTTTGCACTTTTACTCTGCTCATGTTAACCCCAATATTTAGGATTATCCTTTCCTGCTCCACAAGATCCATTAACTAAGCCACTAATGCCATTGTACATGATGCTAAGGCTAGTAATGAGGATCTTCTTCATTCATTTGTTGTTGAGTCAAACTATTGGTCTAACTGAACAAAGTAACTACAAAAACAAATATATTAGAAAGTACAATGCCTTACCCGTTGTCAAAGTCACAAGAAGTTATACCTCCTAAATGTTATTGCATGGCACCTAAAATTAGGTGGGTGATCGATCTCATGGGTCATCAATCCTTAAATTTAGATAATTTTCATGGATGATCGACAATCAACCTATGATTGGTTCTCTTGATATGCTAAGGTTTGTTTGAGACAGTTTTCTTACTACTTCTTAAAGCATATTTATAATACAAAAGTTAAAATTTTTGTACTAAAAATTTGCTTTAAGAAGCAGTAAGAAAGCAGCCCCAAATGAATCCTAAGTCTTGTGCCAATTGAATCCATTCTTACAAGATAAACCTTTTTAATCAATGTTAATTGATGAGCTTTGATAAAATGGATCCTCTAAATTCCATCTGGGACAGCTTTCTTACTGCTTCTTAAAGCAGTTTTTTAATACAAAATTTTTAATTTTTATAATAGAAATCTACTTTAAGAAGCAGTAAAAAAACAATCACAAACGAAGCCTTACTGAGTTGCTTAATCACCTCTAAGCTTACAAGGCCATGAATGAGTTAACGATTCTATTAAACTTCTTTAGTATTTACATTAATTATTTGTTCTTAATATTACTTAAATTTATATCTATGCCCCACTTTCACAATTGAATTTGTCAAAATAGGTCTGGTATTTATTTTCCTTATAACTTTATGGATCATTACTTATGTACTATATTAAACATATGATAACAGGAAATTTTAGAAAAAAAAAATAGTATATCTACTATTGCCACATATCCTCATAAAGTTAAAGCAAAATAGGAAAAAAAATGCACATAATCTAAGCATATTTATTATTTACATAAATATTATGTAATAAAAACTAATAAACTAACAAATTTATGTTTATCCAGATCAATATATTGAGAATTTAACATAAATTTATGATTTTATTGTGTTTTATGATTTGAATGATATTATCATAAATAAAATTAATTGAAACATTATTATTTCTAACTATGTAATAATGTGAAGAAAAATTGACTTTATATTCCTAATAATTGGTGAAGTCGATAAAATACGACTATTATTTAGTATATTAGAGAAATATGTCCAAACTAAAATGCCTTCTATTCTTATATTCTCGCTATAAGTAAAACTATATTGCACCTTTCCTACACTGTCATTTTTCACTATTGTTATGAGAAGTTCCATCATTCTTGATTTTATTGTTGAAGGGATCAAACAATCACTTCATTGGAGTTTGGCATTTAATTGTTCATCTGCGACTTCATCACTGTATGCATGTTCTTACAATAGTGTCATTATATGCTAACCAATTATTTTCTAAGGGTGGAGAATGAAAAGAAGGAAGAAAAGTTGAATAGGGCAATGGATTAATGGCACAAAGAAGTATTTCATTAAATATGTCATCAATCTCATATGTAAAGTTACAACGATTTGTTAGAGTCAATTTAGTCTAAAACTAAAGGTGATATTCTACTTTGGTGGAGCACAATCAACAATTTTGATTTCTTTGGCTAAGCCACTAACAAATTATAATTTTGCATTTTTTTAGGATAAGATTCCTATATCCATTCAATAATGATCTCCCATATGTGTGTTTATTGTTCACAAGAATATTACAACTAAAAATATTTATGTAGGTGAGACTGCTACAAAATTACTCATTTTTTCATTATATGTTGGTATAGGTGAAGATGTTAACATATCACATATAAAAGTAAATGATACTTTGAATATACCATATATAGAGGGATGTGTTATTGTGAACGTCGTACAAATTGTGCAATATAGTGGCTCCATGAGAGTTTTAATACTATAGTATCTATTAAAGAGTATAAGCTTAGTTTATAACATATCTAAAACTAGTAAATAAGTAAGATTTTATGATTCTTCATGTATTGTAGGACTATGAGCAATAAAAGAAGATGATATAAATTATGTGATTTAATCATAATTTGAGGCAAAAAATTATCATATTGAAGGTAAAGATGAACTACTATATTAATTTGTCTTATGAAAGGCATGGTGCTGTTACAAGAAAGCAATCATATATGCAAGATGGTCACCATAGCATTATTTTAGAAATTCATATCTTATTTGTACATGCTACATAGGAAAAATCCAAGGACAGTTGATATGCCACTTAATAATTTATGAAAAAAAATTTCTATCTTTGATAAATTTAAAATATTTTATGATCGAATATGACATATAAAATTATCCCAAAGATCAAAAATAGCATTTTGTTATAGACTTACTAACAAAAAACTTACATTTTATTTTTCCTGCATAATTTATATAATTTAATATGTTTTATTTAATTTTAGGACGTGGGTTCCTCATAAGGGCAAGTTCCAATGTTTAATTATATCACAATAATGTTTTCCCTTAAAAACTTTAATTAAAGTAGTTATTTCTATTTTCTATCAAAATATATGCTAATATTTTATACAATTTTTAAGAAATTCATACTAAATAGTTGGTATTTAGAAATTTATGGATGAATTGAGCAACTAAAATTGATGAGTAGAAATTAATCAAATGAAGAAAGAATAAGAGTACTTTATATTCTAATAAAATTAGAGGTACTTAAATACTATTATATATTGGGTTTCATATTTTAAAATTAAATTTGTGTTTAAGTTGATTTGATTAAAAAAGTGGGGGCATGTGCTCGAGAAAATGCCTAGGAATGTAAGTGCTTATGATTTAATTGAAAAGAACATTAGCCTAAAACTTTGGATCTAAGGTGATAATCATCAAGAAATATTAACTCAAACCTAAATCTCTATTGAAATGCATGGGATCTCATACGAGGTTAATTCAGTCTAACCTTTGATTTTACAATCCAACATGGAAAATATGACCAACTAAACCTAACAAATTGCTTTTATAATCATAAAAACCTAGCCTCAATGCATATATAAGATAGTTTAGTCTGTTTTGATTTTAGAAAGAGGACTTTAATTTAGCCGTACTTAAGTTATGTTGTTTAACCATGATTGAATATATATTACTGACTCACAATATA